ATATTGATTGAATCAGAAGATATTGAAGAAATTAGACCACCAAAGACGATATTTTGTCGATGGACACGTTCAAGCTGTCTGCACATTCCTAATGATTTCTTTGTTTATTTGATGGCGTGAAACACAATTTACGCTTATCACGCAAATTTAAAAACAAATTCGGTCATTTACCTATCAAAAGTCAATTTAAGTCGGTAGATATCGAACGAAAAAAAAATAGTCTGCAGACATTGAACAAGCGTAATATCTGTCACGACCAGCATCTTTATCGTCCAACGGCGATTTTATTGCGATTTTATTGCTTTTCCGGTATTTCAACTTTGATTTTGCACAAAAAAACCGCACACATCTCGTAAATTTCTAATTTTGATTGTTCATTAGCTGTTATCAATGTTCCAATGTTTGAAATCTGTTCCAATAAAAATAAAACGAAACCGAATCGAAACAAAACAAAAATTAAAACAGAAAACAGTATATACATAAAATTTTGGTTTTAATTAATGACCATTAACGTTTGGCTGCATTGCTATATAGCTAATTTCGTATGCTGGCACACGCATCAAGTCGATTTTGTAATGGTATGGAAACGACTTTTAAGTTCATCATCAAATTTTATGCAAAGGTTGTTTCTCCTATTATTCAGCGGAAAACAAAGCGATTTTTTGTTGTTGTGTTGTTGTCGGTCACCACAGAGGCGTTTGGTATAATATGACAAATGCTTGGCACATGTAAAGTGTCATCAATCCTAAATGATGTTTGAAATTAATCTGCATTGTTGGATGCAAAAAATAAATAAAGAAAAGATCGAGAGAGAGAGAGAGAAGTTAAATGATGCATTTGGCTTTTTCGAATGCAGTTGCATTGTTGGCTCTTTAACGGGATTTAATATAGCCGAGAATGATGATGAACGATAAAAATGGTGACAATATAAAAAGAAATGTGTTAGATCATTAGCATCGGTACGAAATTAAATGCCAACAGGAATCCTCTATTTCGGGTTGCATTTTGAAATAGATACGTTGAAACGAGTGGGTCAAACGAGAGAGAGTAGCATACGACGGGTAAAGGTAGAGGCGCCGTGTGCTCGCTTTGTATTTTAAAACAGCTGCATTTTTTTTTTCTCGAAAAATTTCAAGTTACGATTCGATGTAATTTTTGTTAGCATGCTGTTTTCCAACCGATCGCATCGGATCAAATTTAAATTACAAGCGATAGAATCTTGAAACAATATTTCGAAACAGGGTAACATTTTCGATGCATTTAAACTATGAATATTCGATGGAATGATGGTGGTGTTGGAATTCGAACGACTTACGCAGTGTCGCCCTGTGTTGACATTGAAGTACAGACACCCTTTAATCAAACGCTGTCTGTGCGAAAGGTAATAAAAAAAAACTTGTTCCGAATTAAATCGCAGCTATAAATTGTACTCGAGGGTTCGAGGCACGCACAGTTCCGTCTGCCTTGATTACGCATATCATTATAGCATCCCTACGGAATGTTCAAAATGCAAATATTAACAAATGTAGTTAATGTCCAAGAAATATGAGATCAAAAACTATCAAAAGGAAATCACACGTTCCTCAATGTTTTCGTTCTGCACTGGAATCAGGTATAAAAGCAATGCATCAGCATTAAATCAGGTCAAGTAGTCTCTTCACTCCTTCATGCAGAATATCTCTCACCAATTTGTATATGATCACTTTGGAAGAGGGTATGTCGTAGAGTATGCGTATTTTAACGGAAAGGACTCAGTCAGCTGCCGAAACAAAAATAAATCGAAACGAAGCGTTTGAAGTGTATTTTGCATTGAATAGATCGAATGAAGATGTGAAGATGTTTTTACATAGTGATTTAAAAACAATATTTACATTTCATGTCTTACATCGATTCTCCGATCCGGATAATCAGTAGCGATGTTTTTCTAGGCCAACATCAGCAATATTACAATAGGCCGTTCACAAAAGAAGGCATATAAAAACAATAACAATCCCTCCCAAAAAGAGAACGTTTATTTATCTGATTAGAAAGATGCAACCGGTGTATTGGGTAGTGTTTGAATTCTCAGCTGTTATGGAATGACGATCGATTCTCTCGGCATGATATCCAACATTGACACTTCTTTTTTTGGATTTATCTCGAAATTTTATCGAAACAATTTGTCTGGCAAATGCAAATACACACCGACACCATTTTGGATATAACAGTGTCACCCACAAGTTTTCGGGTGATAAATGAACAAATTGGTTTCATTTTGTGCCGGCATTTTTTTTTCTCGAATACACCGTGCGATAAACTCTCAGTTTGTGTTTAGGAACGAAAGAAAGCCGTGTTTATCTTTCACCTTTGGAATAGATCACTCCTTTCTCTACTTTGGTCGTTGATTTCGTCTTTTTTGTATTTGTGTGTAGTTTTTTAATTACTGTCCATGTATTACGAATTTGTGCGAAACGATTTAATGAGGCTTAAAATGGTTAGAGTACACACTCAGGTTTTTTTGAGGATTTTGTGATTAAAAACCACAAATCGTTTAATCTTCACAAAAATTAGCATTTCATTCATGAAAATGTTGTTTTTCCACATTCTATAGCCTTTCTTTGGTTGTGACACAAATATTCAGTTTTGTCACTGTTGACAGGTGATTTATTGAACTTGTCTTTCTTTCTTCGAGTTCAAGTTCCATTGTTTTTCGAAGTGATTATGTGAATTGTGTTGTTTTTTGTCATTATCATTACCGAAGCCACAAAGTGCACACACCCACACTCATTCAATTCATTCATACTTTCTGTACCGACAAAAAGGGGATCGTTCAATATTCGGATAATAGCATAATCATAATTACAAAATGAGAAATTCAAAAAATACTAAAAGCCGCTTCGTCTCTTCTGTTTTACAAGAAATCACATGAGCATTTTGTGCGTGTGAGAACGGATTGGAAAATAGTTTACACGAAACAAATTCTTAAGTTTACTTCGGCTACTATAATTATTGTTACCATATTGTATTTTTCTCAAAAGATAAACAAAATGGTATTGATATTTTATGGCGTTGAACTAATGAAGTCAAGTAAAGTAAACATTTTGTCATTTACAACAGTGTAATTAACAATTTGCATTTTGTGTGTTCGAGGAATACAAGGTACCACAAACATCAAATGTAGCAGTGTGTCCATAGCAGAATTTTGGACATACGGTTCGGCATCATGTTTTCGGTGGAAACGATTTATAACAAATCGAATTTTCCACCTGGATGGAAAATTTATTTCTCGAAAAATTCATGCCACACACAAACACACGTCGAAAATTCCATGACACTCTCACTGCAATTGCAATAACGAATGCCAAAGCTCATAAATCATGCTGCAGACCGGTTGGATGGCGTAGAATATTTAGGAAAATAGATAGAGAAACATATATCGAAACAAAATACAAAAAAAAAATCGATTCGATGAACTGTGAAACGCTTAAAGGTATAAGGCTCTTGGAATGCCGCGCACACAAGATGAATCTATCTGCACCGTATGCAATGTCGTACCGTATATATGGATGCATATTATCTGGCCTCTCTGCATGCAGCAGCATCACACTTCATCTCTCATTTGTTCATTCGACACATACACTGCATCTTTTGGCTGATTTTGCAAAGGATGATGATGTTGAAGCCGTTGCAATGGAACATCGGGGTGGAAACAGGATAACAATACCGAAATGAAAAGGTGTTTTTTAAGAGGATCGTTTTCATGATTCGGTTTTTTTTTATTCTTTCATGCAGCTACAAAAAATAACTATTTCACTCTTCTTCTTCTACTTTGCTGAGCTATTGGTATTGTGTATGAACGGATTTGATTTATTTTCATGGTTTTTAGTTTCTATTACGTTTTGAAGAAAAAAAAACTGTTTTTCATCCTGCTCACCCTCACATACATCGATCGGTATTGCTACGCACATTGTTTGGCCAAAGAGTGTCCTTTTATGCTGCATTTATTTTTCTCTACCTGAGCAAAGGCGATTTTCCTCAGCAAATATGATTTTTTTTTCGTTATCTTGCTTTTACCTGCACACCGGCGCAAATGCATTCAAGCCAGATAAGGCTCACCAAATCCGGCATTTCGACATCATCGTTGACGCAAAAACCTCAAAACTAACAACAACAACAAATTCATGCTTAAAATAATATTCACCTTCTTGAAATATGCATTTTGTGAATATCGTTTTCAATTTGGATTTTGTGTTTTTAAGCTTTTGCGAAAATGAAAAAAAAAAACAAATCTCCATTTTTGCACTTGTAATTTGAAAACAGTACTCAGCATTTTGTTTATAGAAAATGTGAAAAAAATGAACAAAAAATAATAATAATTGAAAAATGATTGGAATTATTCACTGAACGCAAATAATAATATCAAAATGTGTATCAATTATTCAAATACATACACTACTACAGTGTAAACCATGAGCATTTTTCAAATCTAGCATGCATGATTAAAATTCCAATGAAAAATCTCAAATTAGTTACATCAGCTTTTTATTGTTCTTATTTCCGTAAATTCCAAAGTAGATCACACAAGATGAAAAATGAACGTTTACCACATTGAACGACGCTTCGATTATATATGTATTATTTTTTTTTTTGAAATGGAGTATTTTCAGGGAGTTCTATTTACATTTGAATCCATTCGGTTGAGAGTATGTTGTGACCTAGATTTTATTTATTTTTCAATGAATCAGATAATGCAGCCATCAAGAGCGGCATATAACCTTGTTAATATCTCTCTGCATTTTACATGGAAATATATTTCAATGAATTTCATAAAATTGGCTTAAGCGATTGAGAAAATGATATGAAAGTGGTTTTAATTTGATTGCAATCAAAATCCAAAAAAAATGGATCCATAATGGCATTTATTTGAATAATTGTAATAATAATAAGATGTGAATAAGTGCATAGTAGCCATAATAAACTTTGGAACACGTGTGGATTACATACAGTAACCATAAATAGATGCCGGTGACATTATGCTGATACACCAATGCGCAAGCAAATTACGAACTCAAATAAATCAGCTTATATATCAGACACAGCTCGAAAAGCCAAATAGTAACTGCAAGATGACCTGAAAAGCTGTATAAAATAAAATGTTCAAATCATTCTCTTTTTAATCTATATATTTTCATAATGCTTACATTTCCAAAAACTTCAACTGAACAACCAATTAAGCTGAGTCCTGAAAAAATGATATCTTCCTGCGATCGTGCTATAATTAAGATTATATGCTTTCGTAGTTCTGGCGGATAATGGTACCAATTTGAATCGTATGCAATGTCACCAATATTTGCAATTTTATCAATTACATCTGATGCACTGTAACAAAACAGTGTCGGCCAAACTAATGCACACGCAATACTGATTAAATGCCAGACGAACATAACCACTTCAAAGGTAGTCTTCGAAATCGAAATGGAATCAAAGAATTATATCTCATCAAAATTCAACAAAAATACCTTTCCCACACTAGGTGTGCGGAAAAGTAAAAAAAAAAACAGTGAAATTCAAGTAAAAAATTGCATAAATTATTTTTAGCGTAAATATTTACGTGTTCCACGTTAAACATGGTCAAGCCCAATAATAAGGTGTTACCGGGTAGTAGAGCAAAAATAACGCCAGTGTTCACCTCACTGACCATGTTGAAAATGCTGAAAATAATTTTCGAAATAGTACTCGATATTCAAGGTGCATTCTTGTGGTGCTACTCACTCATAAGCTTTTTCATGAATACTAACAGCTGTTGCTAGTTTTCTTTCAATTTCGCGACATCGGTTTTGGTGAAGATGTGGATTTTTTTCGTTTAAATTAAATTCCACATCGGCTCGAACCGAGTTCATTAATAAATTAAAGTGCTCACAAATGGCACCGATATAGTTGCAGCAACAAACAAAATATGCCGTAATCGTAACTTGTGACATCGAGTAAGCCATGCCCATGCTGAACTGAATGAATAGCAATAAGTACCATCCAAGTAAATGTTCCGTATTAAATGGCACCCACAAAGTGAATGGCAAAATCCATGTCGATGTGTCGAAATTGTTGACGATCATACAATAAAATGAGAATAACAAAGAGGCTGCATACATTGATTGATTGGCGAACACAAATTTCATAAATTTCGCAGTGAATTGACGACAATTTTGCTCTGTATTCCAGTGAATGGAGGCTACTTGCTCATCATTCTCTGAAACCAAAAAATTGGTTAGGAATTGAAAAAATCCAATAAAATGGCCTTTTTTATCATACCTGCATCAACAATTGCTTGTAGTTCATGATGCAATTGTTTAACAGTTTTCATTTTTAAACCGAATCCAAGAAACATTCCCCCCACTTGCAAACATCCAACGGCAATCAAACATGGTTCCGAAATAACATTGTATTGTGGCCAATTTATGCAAGCAAACACTATGCTTCCAACAATTAAAAAAACTATCACAAACAAAAAGTAGAAACTGATGAACCGTTTGAAAAATTCATTTGTCGGATCGTCCAAATTATGAGAATGAATGCCAATTCGAGCCATTATCATTTGATTATACTCAAGCACCTTAAACTTTGACTTTTTTTCACTCATTTTTTATTGTAAATCTTTTAAAAGCGTTTCTCGTAAAAGTTAGTTCTTCACAGTTCCCTTTCGAAGCATCAATAGCTACTAAGTAACATTCAAATCAATCACATTCTTTTATTCAGAATTTTTTGAAAACGGTTATGAAAATGAAACCAGCTATTGAAAACTATAAAATTCATGTAATTATACAGTAACAACTGTCATTTCAATGATATAGCTTAAACAAAGATTCCCATGCGTCAATGCCAAATGTAAAGGCATTTGCGACTCAAAGCCATTTGGTTTTTCAGAGGTGCGGAATAATGGGTTCCATGTTTTGACCCCCTCTGTCACAGATAAATTGGATTTTGACCCCCCTGAACTTATTATTTGATTGAAATCCTTCGATTCGGAAGGATGACCTTTTTTTGTTTTTCACTTGTACCAAGATAAAAATTGTTTGATTTTTTTTGTGTGTTGACCAACATCCCCCCGTCTGATATATACCGTTTGCCCCCTTCTGATATAAACCATGCTCTGAGACATCGAAGTCTGTGCACCCTGATTTAAACCATATTTAATCGCTGTAAACGAGCAGGAAAATATTCGTTGATAATTTCTTTTCCATTTTTTCCCATAATGTAATTTGTGCATAATGAAATTTAATGACCTGGACTTGTAGCATATTGCATATGATTTGAAATCGAATTGTGCTGTGATTTAGTCGAAAAAGTGAAAATACCGTACCACAATTCTCCTAAATTACTAACCACGGAGGTCATTCGTCAATGCTTTTGGTTTTGAAATTAAATTTAAATTACAAATCGATTATTTCACCAGTTTGCATAAAATCCACTTGAATGTAGTTTAAATTCCTTTTTTTTTTCAACGGAAAAGTGGAAATAATATGCAACAATGATGTTCGTCCTAAATTACAACGTAGTAGTAAATCATCGGATGCCCTGATTTCGCGAATGCTTTCAAAGCGTTCAAATCGATCGATTACTTTCATAATTAATTTCAAGCCTTTCCATTTCATTTTGCATAAAATCGAATCGAAATTACAAAATTCACCCGAAATACCATTTTCAAACATATATTTTGCATTCATTTTCTTTAAACAGGCTTTTATTTAATGATATAAAAATATCAGCAGTTTTATGACAAAAATATCCTTTGGAATTGAAGTAAAGTCAACAACAAAGGATAAAGCATACTCCATCAAATGCGAAAGAAGCATTAAATGTTAACAAATCTCCTGTTGGCAACAAAGGCAATAGTTTTTTCACCGGAAAAATGTTTGACATCGTCATTGAAAAAAATGTATATGTTGTATTCTTGTGTGTTGTTGAATGGGCATATTTCTCTAAGTCTGATTGATTGTGAATCGAAATGGAATGGAATCGCATATATATATAAATTGGTCACACCTGTTGCCATTTATGTTGTTCAGCTATAATATAGTGTGCCGCTGTGTCTAGTTTTGCAAGAAATGTCCATTGTTCTTTGTATGTCATTTGGTCATTTCTTTTGTGTGCCTGTGACCGTAGGAGAGCCCATTGCATTTAGCCAAGCATGTTGTCTATTCATATTGTCTTTCTCTCTCTCTGACACACTCTTTGCGAATAGTGTCTGTCAATGGGCTTTTTGAAATTTAGCCAATCGTTTCCAGTCGATGGCAAGAACAAAAGACTTTTTGAATTAAAGCACTAAAGCAACAACAAAATAAATTGGCAGACAGGTCGTTCCCATTAATAACAACAACAACAATCAATATTAGTTTTTTTTCTATTCACTTCTTCGATTGCACAATGAATCATTAATAAAATTATGATTTTACACTTGCGTTCACCACGATGCCGTTAATTTCACAATGTGCTTGTGTGCCAATTGCGATAAGAAATTAAACAGAGTTAATTAAGGCTGTACCATTTTTTTATTGCTTTATCGAACGGAAACGAAACCAATAAGTGTGCGGTGAGTGGCATCGATTTTACAGGTCTTGCATAAATGGAAAATTGTTTCGAAGAAAATATCACCGATTCATTTTTGAATAGGAAATGAAAATGAATTTGACTTTTCGCTTGATTCCCCAGATGCCATTTGAATTTCCGTTATCATTTCAAGCGCACACGGTTTTAATGCAAAGTTTGCAGCATTGCATGCAAATGTCATTGAAAATAGGAAACAGGGTGATATGATAGGTGCATTGAAGGCGAGTTGTTGTAACGGCGTTTCATTTGTGTGGCGCGCATCATCTCTCAAGATACGTCGACACACATATATGTTCAGTGTATGTGGTGAAATGTGTCACATGTCATATGCTGTGGATTGAAAAAGGAAAACAAAAACTTCGGAGCATTTGAGTTGGTTAATTGGAACGAAAAGTTTGAAAAAAAAGCGGAATAAATCCCTCTGCCAAGCTCAGATACACATTTCGATGTATTTTTTATCATTTTACCTGTACGACTTTGACATGTATGCAATTCTCCTTGAAAATATCATTTGATTTATTAAAACGAGGTCAACAGTTGTACATTTTTATGGCACACATACACATACACATTAGTTAGTCGAGTGAGTTTTCGCATTTCTCTCTTTAACTCGCCGAGTTTTTTTTTAATGACTTTTTTGTCATTGAATTCAAACGATGATGTGACATGCGGCCGTCATGGCTTATGGAGCCTTCCTGCAAAATATGTTGATTGCGTTTGGCGACAAAAAAAACCTGAAGAAATAAAATGAAATTTAGTGCATAGGAGCGTGCGCGCTCGCGTCAAAAACACATTCGCCCTCTTGCACGAGATAATTTCATTTACAATTTACTGTGTGACATTTGTCTCTATTATTATTGTTATTATTTGGGTGATGGTTTGCATGTGGTTTGCACGCGATTACACGCAAACATTTTTGCGAAGAAAGAAGGAGACGCGCGAGCCGTTTGTGGCAACCATAAATTTGATACGCCATTCATTTACTCCCGGCACAAACATGCCAACACAAATCTTCGATGAAATTCTGAATTCAAATAAAACGGTATGTATTCATTCTGCCACAAGTAGAATTCTTCACTCGAATATGTGGATATTACTGTCTTATTGCTGTTCGGTGTGTGTTGCTGCCGCTCTCTCTCTCTCTCTTTCTCTTGCCACAAATGTAATGTAAATAAAAATTTTCTCATTTCATATTTTCCGTGCGATGATTTTTATTTTATGATTATTTAATGGTTTGCACATCAATGCACGCAGATTCACTTGCCGTAAATCGGTGAGAGCGACCGCGCTTCGGACGACCGTGCAATCAACAACAGCATGCACCTAAATGAAATAAATATGGTTATAAAAAACTGAAACCACCACGCGACTCACATTGAACTCACTTCCTCTCTCTTTCTCATACCCTCCTTCTTCTTGCTTTCCCGTTCTCTCTTTGCATTTTTATACTATGAAGAGACAGAGACGACGCTGTTAAAAGAGACAAAAAATCATTCAGTAGCGAGCAAAAAAAAATAAATATATATTGTATTTATGGCAATGACAATAGAGAAGTCAAAGGCTCCGCGTCGTGTTGTTGTCGCTTTTTAATGCGTGCCAAGCATCCAATTTAATGCCATATTGTTCGAATTTCAAATTTTACCACTGGAATAATTGTTTAAATTATGCGATAATGTGCAAAATCGAATAAACAAATCACGTCATGCACCGACCGTTATGGACCCGCTATGGCTGACATCCCATTCAAGCGATAAACACGCTTACGTTGAGCGTATTTTCCAAAGCAGCCGCGATAACAAATATTAAAAACCCATATATCTCATTTGCGGAGTAATTTTGTCGATGGCGGGACTGTGCGGAGTTCGGCGGAGATAGTATGCAAATGCTGTGTATACGAGTACAACAGCATTCTTTGCTATTCATAGATTTATTTTGTCCAAACGAACATCTTAGTAGCCGTTCACACAGCTAAGTTACTAATCATCTGCGTAAGAATGATACATATAGAAGTGCTGTTACCCTCGCACACACAGAGTTTGTATGTCATCTCCGCCAAACTCCGCACAGTCCCGCCATCGTCCAAATTACTCCGCAAATGATTTATATGGGAATAGGCAAAAAGATTTCACATTTACTTTTTATTGCGTTCAAACGAGCAAAAAAACCGCAGCAAATTAAGAGGAGTAAAAACAATTTGGTTTAACCTCTACCTCCTACGCCGAATTCACATGAATAAAACAAAACTGAAACATGTCAAACAATTCCAATTCGTGATTGTGAATGTTTTTGAGATATTAGCTACACACACATTTTTCTAAAGAATTCCTACACACGCATCCGTCCGATGCACGTGAACGAACGGGATGCAATATTTGGAACGGTGTGTTTCTGATACGTGAAAAATTGAAAATATTCAGCATTTATGAATCAAAACGTTTCATTTGCAACGTGTTTTTAAAATGTTTTCGAATTTAATATTCTAAATGGCCATTGCTCTGATTAAATCTGACACGTCTGACGCTAAGTTCAATGGGATCGAAGTGTTTCTCTATCGCAATCGTTTCTGAATCATTCTTACTTTTGCGCACACATCACTCCAAAATTTTGAAATGCTCAAAAGCCGTATTTTACGGCGTAGATTTTAACTATTTTAATGTGGAGATATGGTGCGCTATACACAAAAAATTTTTAGTAAAAGAACTGTTCCTTCAGAAATTGAAATTTGGCTTTACAGGATGATTGAGGGCGACAAGGAATGAGCTGGTATAGTTTTTGAGGGATATTTGTTGATTGGTGTAAAAACTTGGACTCATAATGAATGCCACTCAGAAAAAAGTAGCCCACCATTTTTTTGTAACATTTTGAAGAAAGAACGATGTCAATTTTTCATATAACGAGTGAGCCAGCAGTTTTTGACTGAGAGTTTTTCTAACCCTACATTTGTCATAACTGAGCAGAGTGCGTTTAACTCTCAAACGACACATTTGCATCGCAATTAAGAATTATATAAATTGAAATGGAAATATTAAAAACGATGATAATACAAAAAAAGTATTAATCATTCAAAATAATTGGAATAA